CTGTGTGTTCGTCTGTACCGATTTTTCATCTCGAGACCTACAGAAGCTACAAGGCTGAAACTTTGGGAATTTAATTGACATGCACTTATGGGCTCCTCTCCCCAAAATGGTCGCTCTTGTCCACATGGCTCCCAAATACGAGCCCGTGAAAGTTTTTGCATATAAGCTGCTAGCTTAGGCGCCAGAAAAGCTAGAAAGCTTGAAGTTTAAGGGGATGTTTTCTGACTGTCGTGGTAGTCAGTCTCAATTTTTTTAGCTAAAAGCATCTGCCGGAAAAGGCAATGCCGTCAGCGGCCCAAACTCTGGGTAACTGTGCAAAAACGCATCTTTGCACCGGCATCACTGCGTTGACCAATTTTTTTTTCTTTTACAAATAACTTTTATTGCGCTGGTAAATTAAGAGAAACTTGTGTTTACCGAGCAGTTTCGACAGCACTATTGTTGTTGCATTCTGGAACGCGCTCCTTGTAGCTGCATGTTCGTGTGTTGCTTTCAAAGAACAATCCGCTGGGACAATTGACTCGATAGCTGCCACCTTGGCCACAAAGGTAGAAGTAATTCTCACAGCCTGCCGAGTAAATCCCATCGCCATGTGCTTTGCAATAGTTACCTTAATTGGTACTTCAGTAGAGACAAAGTGTGTGGTACAAGTAGATGAGTTCTGTGCACAGAGGTTCCTCTTTCTTTTCATTATGTATGTTTAATCACTTAAGTAAGTGTTCCAGATAGTTTAACGCATAAATTGTGTTTGAGTTTAGAAAGTCCTTAAATATGATCAACGCTCCCTCGACTTTACAACTGCAACATTCCTCTTTGCAACTTAAGGTGATGAGGAGATCTGAAAAATTACTGCCTAAACATATTAGGTTCCACCGATTCCCGATAAACTATACCAAAATTGTTAAACTTTTTTCACAGTTCCGTGACAAACACTGAACTGATATGAAGAGGCAAAATAAGCGAGTAACTCGCCGGGAGCAGGATTGCCTGACCTTAGCTGCATCTAACATGTCGCTGAGGCTTTAATCACGTGGTCAATTTTAATAAGCTAAAAAGATGCATATTTACAACTTTAATAAATATGCAAGAATCTTTCGTAATTAAAAATTCACTTATTTCTGGAGCCGGTATAATCCGTGTTTCTTGCGAAATTTTTGGTCTTGTTGGGCTACAGCCCGGCACAAATTCTGGATCATCGCATCTCTTCTGTGTCGCATCATATACTTGTCCTGATGGACATCTAGAAAACATAGTATTTCATATAAGAGAGATCAGTACTTATGAATTAATTATTTTAATGTAATTTTTAGGGTGCATGACATAGAATTTTTGAGGAATAACAAGTGGTCTATTGATCGAGCAACCAAAAGTGTTCCTCATGCACACATAAAGTTGATTATTAGAATTATATTCTTATGTATTCAGTACAGTTAAGGTGCAATATGAAAGCCGATTATAGTAATAAGTTGAAGGGAACTAAGAAATCCAGCTGGCTATCGTCCAGACTGTCCACGTGGGAATCCTATTTTAGTATTTTAGTGATGTTACTTGACTTAGGCCGCTGCACTTATGCCAGAGTCTTCAATCCTGAGTCGCACACTTCCAATTAGTACCCATTCTTTTGTCATACAATAAGTTAAATAGTAAAGATCCAGAAAATTAAGCGGACAAATATTTACTGAAGTTTCAGAAGTTGACCGCGTATACAACTAAAATGCAATGGTGAGCAAGTGGAATGCTCCAGTGGGCCATCTTCCAAGAAAGCGCAATCTGGTTCCACGACCTCATTCGATTCAAGCGCTTCATTTCCTCTGAAGATAGAAGTTTATTCGCCTCACGGAAAAAATCAAATTTTTTTACAAACTGGACACTGGAAGAATGTTTGGAACAATTAGGGCGATTGGTGGCTTTCTATGTCAAAAATACACAGCATTCATGGATCGAAACGTCCGTATGCTAGTTTCTCTTATTATAGAAAAAAATGTGTTAATTACTGAACTGTAAGTAAAATGCATATTCATTTGCTGCCTTTGCTCAAAAATTTAATTATTATAATTTCTTCTTATTCTTTCGCATATTGTTATTCCTGTATTCACTTTCTTTCACTTAATTTTTTTACTTTTTTCTATAGCTACTTATGATTTACTGGTAATTGTTCACCGCGATATAAATGGATCCAGAAAATAGATGGGACGAGGTAAATTTTTAACCCTGCAA